GGTTGTCCAGGGAAGTTGTGGCTGCCCCATCCCTGGGAGTGTTCAAGGTCAGGCTGGATGGGACTTGGAGCAACCTGGTGTAGTGGGAGGTGTCCCTGCCCATGCAGGGGGTTGTAACTAGATGATCTTAAAGGTCATCTAACCCAACCCAACCCATTCTATGATTCACGGCACATAAAATGAGCAGTACTTGGGGCATTATTCTTGAAGCCTTTTGGAAAATAAGCTATTTGGGAGCTTGGGACCACCCAAGGGGATCTTTGTGATAGTGTGTTTTTGTGGAGAACTTGGACAGAAAGTGTCTTTTGACAAGGCTCAGACTGCAGTGAGGAGTCAGGGGTCTCACTAGCTACTGTGTGCTGACATAAATTACTGGTTAAAATCCTCACAGATGTTTTGCGCAGTCAGAGGGAAGAGATGGGGATGCTGAGATCCTCACAGAAGGCAGCTGGAGAGAAAGTCTGGTGCCAGGAGTTGGTAGCTAAGGTACTGCCTCTGGGTCTTGGGACAGCTGTGTGCAGGGACATCTTAAAAAGTGGGTCTGTCAAAGAGCAGTGTGCCTCAGTGGGCTTGGAATAAAGCAGTGATGGAACCTGTTTGCAGCTGGATCCTGTACTCCAAAAGACTTTTTGAATCCCTGTATTTGCTCATGGCCCTGTGCCCTCTTCTTGGTCTGTTTCCAGATGGACATTTTAAGGGAGATTTCAGCACTGGAAGCATGTTCCATTGTAATGAATAATTAGTATCTGCAGCTCTGGGGGGAGAGAGCCCCATGATGGGTCTTTTGCCTCACATAATGCTGAGAGGTCCCTTCCGTAGGGTGTGCTTGAGCCAGCCACAGAGTGGGGGACCCAAAGGTGACCACTGACATGATGTCCTCCTGCTTGGCCTCTTCTCTCTGCAATGCTCCTTGCATCCAGGCAGCCTTGTCTGGACTGTCCCAGTGGGAGAAACAAGGAAAGCCCTGACAGCTCCTTCTCCTCCTCCCAGCAAACATGTCTGATGCTGCAAAAGAGAGGAAGAGGATGTTCAGGAGCTTCTTGGTGCCCTGAGATGTGACACCAGCCTTTTCCATTGTGGGAAAACACTTTTAATTTTCTGAAAGTCCCAGGGTGAAAGGAGGCCAGACCCAAGGCACATCTCATTGGGGATATTACATTCCTCATCCTGGGCCTGCTGCAGTCTCTGGAAGCTAATTCCAGCTGTGTTTTTAAGCCTCTTGCAGTCTAGGCTGAGGGCCAGATGCTGCTTTCCAGAGTTTTCCAATAACCCCAATGTCTCATAAATTCACTCAGGTGCTTGTTCTGGCCACTCTGGAGAGCAGTGGTAGCTCTGGCTGGCCTCTCTTTAGACACTTGCATTTTAACTTCCAGGTTTGCAGAGGCAGTAATTAATTTGGTTCCATCCTGACTTTTCTCACAGCTCCTTAGTGATGTTTGCAGACCTCTGGCTTTACTCTGGCTCACCACAGTAGTGGTTTCTGCAAGGTTGTTGCTGAAGACTTGTGTTCCCACCAGGCTTGGGGTTGGAGCTGGGTTTGTAAGGGATGGCTGCAACTTCTGGCAGAACGAGAGGCCCTTCTTGCAGCACGTTGCAGGTACCTGGGTCCCAGGTTTGGCACCATCCCAGAGCTGATGTTGATGGACATAATAACACAGGAATGCTCTTTTTTCCCTTTCATAATTACAGTTTTAGTTGATTTCTTCCCACCCTCTGCCACTGGGAGAAAAGCAGTGTTCAGCTAGCCAAGGAATCTTACAGTCACAGCAGTTTCCTTCAATAAGCTGCTTTTATTAAAGAAAGGAACAATTAAGAAATAATAAAAACCTAATTAAAATTCTTAAAAGCTCCATGTTTTTTTACCCACGTCTCATGTTGACACCCTGAGAGGGGGAAAGATCCACAAATGTATCAGAGAGTTTGTGAAGTCTGAAGTCTGACAGCCTCCTGTGCAGGCACTGTCCTGAGCCTGCTGCTGTGCAGACTCTGGGTCACACTTGCCTTGGGAAACCATCCCAGGTGTCCCTTTTCTTTTAACCCCTCCTTCCCCCAGTGCCCCTAACATTTCTCACTCACCTCTGCATGCCACTGAGCTATTTTCTGGTGCTGTTGGTGTTTGGTTACTGATGCTTTTAGGGAGCAGCCTTGCAACACTTTCTTGCTTAAAAGGAGTCCAAAGGGTCAGACTACTTTTTGGAAGATGGG